ATGTATGTATGTGTGTCTGTGTGTCTGCATGCCTACGTGTAGGTAAGTAGGTAGGTTGCTAGGTAGGGAGGTAGGTAGGTAGGTAGGTAGGTAGGTAGGTAGGTAGGTAAGTAGGTAGATAGGTAGGTAGGTGGGTAGGTAGGTGGGTAGGTAGGTAGGTAGGTAGGTAGGTAGGTAGGTAGGTAGGTTTGGATGCAATTGCGATGTATAGTTGCATGTAAAAACTCCTTGTCCCCGTATGTCTGAACGATTGTATCTGTGCATATAATATATATGTATATATATATATACACATTATGTTATAACTATAGTAAATATATGGATATTCTAGAACCCCAAAATCCCTAAAACCCTAAAACCCCAAAATCCCTAAAACCCTAAAACCCTAAAACCCCTAAAACCCTAAAACCCCTAAACCTAAAACCCTAAGATCCCTAAACCCTACGATCCCTAAAACCCTGAAGCCTGAAGTGATTTCGGAACAGTCTGGAGCCTGAGGGGGTCCGGTCAAGTCGCATGCAACCCTGAACTCAGGATCTTCTAGGGCCCCGAGAAAGCACAAATTAAGGTTTATAAGGGTTTGCAGGGTCGTTTCAGAGCCTGTAGACAACTGCGATTCATAGGTGGATGGGTGGGTCATCGTAGTGGCAGCAGAAGACTTACTGGGCACCGGTCATAGGGATGCTCCTGGCTGTCCTATGTATGATCGATGTTAGCTGTGCTGATAGTAGAGACAACAGCTACTGTTGCCGAATGTTCGTGGATATTGAATAGTACAGCAACGTTGCTAGTACGCCTAGCAAGACGAGCAAGGACAGGGGTTCAGGGTTTTAGGGGTTCAGGGTTTTAGAGGTTCAGGGTTCTAGGGGTTCAAGGTTTTAGGGTTCAGGGTTTCAGGGTTGAGGGTTTTGGAGTTCCGTGTGCATACTTACACAGCTAGAACTCTAACCCGCACCTAAACCCAAACTACCCCCGCTCTACGTATAGTTTTAAACCCTAGGATCAAAGCCCTGCCAAACCACGCAGCCCAAACCCAAAACCCCGAAGCCAAGAACCCCGGAAGCCCCTCATCACTGCTGAAGCAGCAACTTACCCTGCCGCACAGGAAGCTATCTTTCATCGATGGATCCATCGATGGATCTCGCCTGGGTGAGACGAGTGCCGGGCCAGCTAATTATATATGGGGTCGCTGCTGGGTACAATTAAGGCAGGCAGAAGCAGTTTTCTGTTGGGATTTTCGAGTGCTTTAAGTTGTTTTGGGTTGGTTTTATGTGTTTTTTTATGCTGCTGTACCCAAAATTAGTACGAACTCCGGTGGCGCAAACCGCCGTAGGAGTGGCGCAAAAAGCCGTAGGAGTGGCGCAAAAGACCGTAGGTCGATTTCTGTGTCGTACTTTGATGATCTGCAGCACGTTGCAACAACTACTGGTGTCCATTGTCTTCGACTGAACTGTGCAACCTTTTTGCTCATATATCTACAACCATCTAGGATTCCGATAGCTACTGGGCGGGCCCCGGTGGCTGCCATGGGAAGAAAGAAAAAAGTCCAAGTGAAAGAAGAACCGAAGTCTCTTGCTGAGCAACTCCAGGACATGTGGTGCTACAAAACTAATCTACATAAGTGTTCTCCAGTGCGATAAGAGATGTGAACCGCATAGGTTGTAGTGCTGCTCATGTTTCAGGAGGCAAAAGCACGTCTGGAAGCCCTGCAGAAGCTGCAGGCCGAGGAGCTGAGCACAGCAGTTCCCGAGCACCAGGATGAGGGTGAGGAACCTGCAAGCAAGAAGCCGAAGCTTCGACGAAAGAAATCGAAGCTAAAGGGTGGGCTGGGGACCCCCGAGAAGGCGGTTCCGAAGAGCCCCCCGCTGGCACCAGGGGCCTGTTCGTCAGGACACATGGTTGTGGATAAGGGCGAGGATGCTCAACCCCAGTTTGCACCCGAGTCTGTGCTGACCGAAACACAGAAGGACTCGCCAAGCCCAAAGCCAACAAGAGCCAGGCCCAAGCCGTCGGCACGAAAGGACAAGAAGCCTTCCAGCAATGGGCCTTTGTCTCCGAAGCCGAACCCTGGAGCCGCCAGTGCCCCGGAACCCGAAGCTACCGCAGAAAAGCCAAATCCGAAAGCTTCCCCACCGAAGCCGAGCCCCGAAGCTTCCACACCGAAGTCAAGTCCCAAAGCTGCCGCCGCACTGAAAGCTTCCCCACCGAAGCCAAGACCCAAAGCTGCCGCACCGAAAGCTTCCACACCGAAGCCAAGTCCCGAAGCTGCCGCACCGAAAGCTTCCACACCGAAGCCAAGTCCCGAAGCTGCCGCACGGAAGCCGACCAGTCCCAAAGCTGCCACACCGAAAGCTACCACACCGAAGCCAAGTCCCAAAGCTGCCACACCGAAGCCGACCAGTCCCAAAGCTTCGAAACGCAAGGCTTCCGACTCCGCAGAGCCCATGGCATCCCCAAAGCAGACCCAAAAGACCCCACGCAAGTCCCTGCTTGCCAGCTTCGACCAGGTCTCCCAGCCTCCCCCAGCAGAAGTGATGGTTCTTGAGGCACCGCCTGGGTCGGACTCCGATGCTGCTGGGGACGATATGCTTCAATATGCCCTCAAGAAGGCTATCGAGGTTTCTTCGGGCGAGGAGAACTGGAAACCTACAGCAACACAGCATGCACTATAGATGGTATCGATTATTGTGTTGGTGTTCGTGTGTGTTCTGTCAATCGAATGATCCTAGTCTAAGGCCACCGATGTCTACGGCTCGCCGCTGAAGGTGCTTTCTTATCTGAAGAAGCAGCTACTGTAGGGAACTATAGTCATAATACATGCATTGCTCGCAGGAGACCAAGCCCGAGCCGCTGTCGGAGAACGAAGGTGATTCTTCTGATGGTGATGAGACCGAAGCGAACCCTCGTCCACGAGCACGAGCTAAGGCCCTCTTGGGTGGCAAGCTAGCCCCCCGACTACTGAGTCCTGTGTATATTTCAAACAGACTCGGCTGTTGCTGATGAAACTCAATCTCAGGCTCTTAGAAAGAAGGCTGCTCCTGACATCGACAATTTGTCGAAGGCGGAGGAGGCCAAGCTTGAGGCGGTGTTAAGGAGGGCCTGCAAGCCTTCCCGCAAAGGCGGTTTGCAGGTGCCAGACACAGTGCACAAGATGTGGAAGAAGGGCGGGAACTCTAGGAGGGAGCTTCGCAAGGTTTTATTGCAATGCCAGGGCAGCAAGGACCCGTGAGGGGCCCAAAACCCCGCACACCCTAAACCCATATAAACCCTAAACCCATATAAACGCTAAACCCCTAAACCCGAAGTCTTTATGCTATCCTGAACCCATATACCCTCAATTCCCAGGACCGCTTCCTGCAACATGTTCGGCACACCTACAAGCAATCAAGAAGCAAAGAGTTCAAGACGATGTCTGGATTCTACACGGACCAGATGATGATCGACGTGTTGAAGTTTACGCCGCCTCTTGCTCGCACATATTCATGTCGGCTGACAAAGACACACATGCATATATGTGTATGTATATATAGACACATTACACACACTCCCGCCTATACATGCCTACTTTCCTACATACCTACCTATCCACCCAGCCACATATCTATGCACATACATATCTCTACATATACATATACACATATACACACTACATACATGACTTTGTGTCCGTACAACTAAGGGAACGTCGCAAAGCGATCCGGAAGTTCTGCATGAAGAAGGAGAACAGGAAGACCCACACGATGCACGCAGCCCCAGCCTTCTGAAGTGAGATGTTAGATCAATTAGAACACTTAGCAGTTATAGCAATCATCCCGCAAACACATATTGTCATAAGGAAGGACAAGTACGAGAAGAAGCTGATTTGGTATTATTGCGACGTCGCCTACGAAGGAGTTGCAGCTGCCAAGGACGAGGAGGAGCTCTTTCGTGAGACGGACATCACGGAGAGTGCCGCCGTCTCTGAGGTGCCGTTCGGCTTGGGAGCAGAGCTTCCAGGCCTGAACTCTGATGACGAAGCCGACGATGATGAGGAAGATGATTCTGACGATGAAGCAGAGGAGACTGCAGAAGCAAAGCCCAAGCTGGGCAAAAGAAAGAGCAAGGACTCGATGATGGAGCAGGAGGAGCCCGACGAAGCCACTTGACTTACTCTTCCGCATATATCACTATCGGTGGTGTGTGCTCTTCCCTAAACCCTAAACCCTAAACCCTAAACCCTAAACCCTAAACCCTAAACCCTAAACCCAGCTAAGGACATCGAAGGGGTGCCGGACCTCTTGGATGAGATCCTGAAGCTCCAGAGCCGATGCAAAAAGCTCCTGGAACGGTGCCAGAAAGCTGGTCACGAAGAGCTACATGACCCAGTGAGTTGTGGCAGGAGTTTCTTGATTGTTGTTTGTCGCTTCTTATTTTGCTCTAGCTCAGCTAAGGGAAGCATCGACCTTGACTGGGCACATCAAGGCTTTGATGGCGAAGCACGACGAGCTTGCTGATTTGAAATCGGCTTACGATTGCAATGAGGGCTTCGACTCTGCGATGCCCGACAGCAAGAACCCTGCTAGATAAGACCACCCCACCCGCATTCAGACTTGTGCTACACCATCTAGAACCATAATAACCTGTGTAGCTTATACATCCCTAAAGCCCGAAACCCTAAACACTAAAGCCATCCCTAAACCCCCTTAGACCAAACCCCTCGCACCCTAAAGCCTTTAAACCTGTAAACCCCAAACCTTGAATACGCCACGCAAGGAAGCTGACGAAGCTGCTCAATGCAGTCAACAAATTGCCCCTCGACCAGCAATGCCTGTCCTGCACGCAGATGACGAGCTTGTTCATGATATTTGATTTTCCTTGCAGGGTGAGTCGCATGTCAATGGAAGAGAACAAGATCAAGAAGAACGGATCTCAGTTCAGCAGCTACATGCAGCACATCTTCTAGCAATAATTTTAAGCTCCGATGTGAACTGCATGCATGCATTCCGAGGACTGTTCTCGCCGGTGTGAAGGCGACTACAGCTGAGCCGAATGCGAAAGCAGCTGAGACTCCGGCTCCGAAGCGAGCCGCCAAGTCGAAGGCGAAAGGGAAAGCCAAGGCCAAACAGCAGGCCAAGTAGAACCTTCAAGGAAGTGTTGTTGTGGGTCTTGGGCAGCTACTGAAAGAGTGGTGAACTCCTTAACTAAAGAACAACCCCGACCCCAACCAGGAATGTGAACTCGAGCCCAGATCTCACGCCTCACGCGAACGTGTGCTGAGCATGCAGCTTCATCTACGGGGTGTGCGAGCAGGAAAAAAGTTCAACGGCAAGAGTCTAGAGTCAAGAAGAAGCACATATTGTGGTAAATGTCGATACATCGATCACATAAGATCCCGCAGGTACTTTATCCAGGCGGTCCGTGGACAGCAATATTTCCAAAGCTTCGGCTACCTCGTCCTCCAAAAACGATGCAAAGCCGGGACCTATAGCATCTGCTCTGACCACAGCCATTGCCAAGGGTGCAGCTGGGCTGGGCATTTATACTTAGGGTTTAGGGTTTAGGGTTTAGGGTTTAGGGTTTAGGGTTTAGGGTTTAGGGTTTAGGGTTTAGGGTTTGAGGACATCCTCACCAGAACACAGCTGACGGTCTAACGGGGCTCCGAGTCTAGTGTTTTTTTATGAACCCAACCAACTAACTAAGGTTTCTCACGAAATGGCCGCCGAACTGGCCCACGCAATCATGATTGAGGTGAATGATTCTTTTGGGGACGAAGCTACATTTAAGCTTAAATCTGCAGATATCGTTCATAAAATGAGCACTGCCTTCTCCACCGGGCATTCAGCCGCCGGCACAAGGAAGGCCATTGCCGTGGCCAGCGATGCAAGACTTCATCTTAGCATACCGGTTACTTTTTTGGATATTGGCTTGGAACGGAAACATCCAGCTCTCCTCTTCAGTTCCTATGTCAAGACTTTGGCAGATCTGGGGCAACTGGAAGTTCTACATGCTAATGCAGATCTTGGCAAATTTTGGGAAACGATGCAGCCACTGCGGTCTGGCCATCCGGTGTATGCTTTGCCTAGGGAAGACTGGGACCGTGTCATACCCGTGTACTTAATCGCCGATGAAGGCCGAGGCTTGAGGCATTCCGCGGTTATGGTCATGGGATGTGAGCCACTGTTGGGAAACGGTTGCGAGGCCCAGGACGCAGCTACTGCAGCTGAGCCCTTCAAGATGAACTTCACTGGCAATACGTACCGTACTCGGCAATTATTTAGTGTTCTTCATAAAACCAAGTACTTGAAAGGCGAGGTGGCTTTGCATCGGCTAGTGACTCATTGGAGCGAGGATCTTCGTTTGTGTTTCGATGGCATTCAGTTGTCGGGCACATTATGGAGAGTCGCCGTAATTGGCTTGAAGGGCGATTGGCCAGCTCTCGATAAGCTGGGTCGCTTGAACCGTCACTTCCGGCGGGAGGCTTACCCGCACGGACAAGGCATCTGCCACTTATGCATGGCCAACACGGCCGTGTGTCCACAGTGGCACCAGCATTGCTTTGATTCTGCTCCATGGGTAGCAACGATCCCTACAGCTACACGACCCTGGTCTGTTCGGAAAGAATCATCGCTGACTGCTACGGTTCCCATGGACCCCAACTTGAAGCCCCAGTTTTTTTTGCCGGACATATTCCACACGGTGCACAAGGGGGTGCATGCTGATCTTACAGGCTCAGCCATCGAACCCTGGCCATGGCAGGGGTGCTGTGTTCCTATACTTTCAGCTCGAGGTTATAGAAATGGGTTTCAGGATACGCTTTTCTCTCGTCTCGGTTTATGTGTGTATATATATATATATATTTTTTTTTCTATAGTCTCCGGTTTGTTTAAAAGTAGCAGGATTGTGTGTTTTCTTTTATTTGCGGGTTCACTTTAGGATAGATTGCCCTTTACTTTCGATCGTCTGAATAGCATACGGTTCTCAATCGTGAGTACAGCTTTCCCATAACCTTAAACGTTCTTTGCGAATTTCCTGCAATTGTGTGTTCCGTTGATGGGTCTTCCAAGGCCACTCTGGTAGACTTCGAGCTGGTTGGGTCCGACAAAACTGGTGTGGAGCCGAGCCTGGCCTTTCTGTATGAGGAGATGAAGGATTTCGCTGCAATGAAGGGTTTGTACCTGCACATGACCGGCCTCACAAAGAAGCTTGTTGGCATGGCCACTTCTGCTGATTTTCCTTCAGGGACTCTTGCCTTCCAAAGCAGTTTATATGCTTTCCCACTACTTTTGCCTTTCACATTCAGTGGTTTGCTAGGAGACTATAGTTTGAATCCACTGTAAGGCAGTGGTTCAAAGGAGCGGACACTGTTGTGGTGCTGAAGTATTTGGTCCACAAGTACAGTTTGATTCTTGCAAATCCAGAATTGGATCTGGGCGAGAACAGATCTTATTTGGAGAAAATTCTGGGCTGCTTGCAAGAGTCCGACTCTTTCATGTCGGCTTTGTATCGCGGTGGTTTTTTTTTGCAGGGCCGTCGCTTGAATAAGATTGTGCGGCACGCACTGGCTATGTTGGATAGCTATTCTATATGTGCTGCTCTGGCAATCGGGCAGAACCGGCCCCGCTACAAGTTCAATCCGAAATGGCATTTTTTATGCCACATGATTCTTCAGCTTGTAACAGATAGCAGAGATCATGGCCTTGCGGTGAACCCACTATCTGCTTCGTGTCAAATGCCCGAAGACTTCATCAACAAGGTGTCGACACTTTCGCGATCTGTACAGGCCCGTAGAATGCCTGAGGCCACCATCCACAAGTACCAAATCTGTGTTGCCAAGGCCTTGTGAAGAAAGGTGTGTCCACCACTCGGTTTGGACTTCGAAGGTTGCTGGTTTTGAAAGGATTCCAAGGATTTTCAACTTCCAAGTTTGTGGTTTCTGTGGTTCCAAGCCAATCCCCGATTCATGGATTTCTGTAGCCGAAACTATTTAGGCCACCTGTAGCAGGTCCCAACTTTTAGCGCCAACAGAGGCTTCCCAGGTAGGGGTTTAGGGTTTAGGGGCCTTAATTATTAGAATAGGGTTTAGGGGTTTAGGGTTTAGGGGCCTTAATTATTAGAATAGGGTTTAGGGTTTAGGGTTTAGGGTTTAGGGTTTAGGGTTTAGGGTTTTAGGGTTTAGGGTTCAGGGTTTAGGGTGTAAAAGGGGGCCTTACTAATTAGAAGTAGGGTTGCGGGGTCCCTTAAAGAGGATCCTTAGAGGGTTCAATAAGGGATCTGAAATAGGGGTCCTTTCTAGTATCAGTATAATAAGGAGCCCCCAAAAGAATATAGGTAGTTATAGAGGCCCCTAAATTAGGGTGTAGGGGGCTCGCCTTCAGGAAAGCCGATCCTGGGCATATGTTCCATTCATTTAGGCTTTGGCCATCAAGTGCCGTTCACTGTTGTTGTCAACTTTTTACAAATGGCAGATGCCTTTTTTATTGCCAAAACAATATGGACCTGCTCAAACTTCAACAAACCAATCCTTCAGTTCTAAACCATCAGCGAAACCTCTACTACACCCCAAAACCCTCCAATCCCCGGGACACTGAACCCTAGCTTCTTAGGCTGTACCAAAACCCCTAAAATTAGAGCCTAAAATCCCTAGACTCTTTCATCCTAAAAACCCAAACTCCTAAGCCCCAGATTCATGGACCCCAAAAGCCATGAAGTAGGCATCAGACTTGCCACCGAAATGTTCAACGATGCTCTGCAGCCTGCACTGCACCCCCCCTCTAGTGTAGGGGCAGTCGAATTTGGATTGGGATTTCTTTAGCGNNCAACATAGAGGCCGAAGCAAAAACTGGTGTTCGCTAGGATGCCTTAAGGATATGGGTAGTTCCCTCAGTCAGGGTCCCGTTTTCGGAACCACCCAAAAGGCGGCACTCTTATCAAAAAGCCTAAAGTGGGACCCGAATTTAAAGAACCACAAACCCTAAACCCTAAACNNTAAACCCTAAACCCAAACCCCCCATAGGATCACAGTGTGTCAAACCCCCGGGAGACCCAAAGTTGAATCACAACGGCTTTAGGGTTTAGGGGTCTACAGGACTTAGAAATTCCGGCCCGGTCTTCCGAATCCAAGGTCCGGGTTTAGGG